TGGACTGGACTGGTAATAAAGAGATAAGCCGCGGCTCTACTCTGAGCCCCTCCCGGATGGCCAAACTTCCACCCTATCTTTAAGGCAGAGGCCAGCCACCCTTCGGAGGAAGCCCATTTCTGCCGCTTGTACCCGCGATCTCGTTCTTTCGGTCACTACCCACAGCTCATGGCCATAGGTCAGGGTAGAGACGTAAATCGACCAGTAAATTGAGAGCTGCGGTTTTACACTCAGCTCTCTCTTCACCACAATAGACCAGTACAGCGTCCGTATCACTGCAGCCGCAGCACGAATCCGTCTGTCGACCCAAATATACTCATTCATACATTGCTTTTTACAGAACTTTGATCTAATATTCTGACACTCTTAATTAATGTATTAATGTATCAAGGGCAAAATGAAGAATCTTATAGACACAGGGGATTAGTAGACACCCCTAAGCCACAGCTGTCTCGTCAGAGATCCGGTTAGGGTGCCTCCTGGGCACCGACCTTTGGAGGATTTACAGGCAGACCCAACTGAGGGGACATCCAGAACTTCCTGAAGAGACTTTATATGTTTTCTGACCTTGTGGAATAAGAAATATGCTTCTTACCCACTGTCTATCACAACCTTCCTTAGTAGAAGGATGGCTTATGGTTTATGGCTTACCATAAACAAAAGTTAAGGTGTATATTAATTTAATACTGAAAGATATCTACATTTACTACTGTGACATTAAACTTAAGCTCCACTAAAAAGTATAGAGCACCTCATCGTATACTTCGTTGGTTAAGCAAGTTAATAAAAGTAATATCACATCCAGAGAAATGATGAGACATACAGAGGAGAGAACAGTAAAGAAGAAATCCACCAAACTCCCAGTAGGCTCATTCACTAAGGAGTTGGTTATTTCAAAAGACCCACGAGAACCTTAACTGCGTTATGGAGTGTGTGTGTGGGAGTGTGTGTGTGTATGAATAGACCTCTGTGTGGAACCACAGAGGCATTTGGTCATGTTTATATCCTTGTTTTTGGCCTGAGGGAATGTGTACACATTGGTGTGAGCATTTGTGTGCTTGAACTTATTAACATCTAACCGTGGCAGTAAGGTGACATGCAAGGTTTTGTGTGTGTTAGTGTGCATGTGTCTGCGGACAGAACATTTACATAAATACCAGTTCATAAGAAAATGTTGCCACCAGAACTCTGCTGAAGTTCAGAACTCTGTGTGTGCATGTGGTGAGAGTAGGAGTGGTAGGTTAATCCTAAATTTACCCTTTGTGGTTGGAGTGCTGCGGTTACATCTGGACTCAGTTTCTCTCTGCCAGTCTTGTTTTTCTTTACTACTCTTGTCACTGTCACCTCACCTGTGTTCCCACTGCTTTTATTTACTTTTTTTTTTCTTCCAGATTTGGAACCTGCATTCCTCTCAAAAAGCTTTCCTGGTTTTTCCTTGGATGTCAGTGTTTGAGTCTTACCTGCTGTTTGAGCTGTTGAACCAGACTATCCTTCTCCCTTTTCAGAGCTGCGACCTCTTCCTGGGTTTTCTTCTTCTTGGACGAGGAGAGTTCCAGCAAGGCGATATTGGCGTCTTTCTCACTTATCGCTGCCAGGAGTGCCTCTTGCCTGCGCAGAGACCGATCGTGATTAGTAAAGCATTCATTTTTATTAAAATTACATCAAAAGAAAGGAAAACTGTTGCTTCACACACATTCTTAAAAGCATTTAATAATGCTCCTTGTCATAAAAAATATTATGAAATAATTTTTCACTAAGAATGTTTCAGGAGTAGTGCAGCTCCTGGTCTAGTTTTGGTGTTAATGACACTCAAAAGTTAAGTAATGACATTACTTAAAGTTGAAACTATCTGCGGTTAATCTAGCGTTGGACACAAGATGCCTCTTTGTGTCAACACAGATTAAAGCCCAGTCTTTTCCACCTTTTTCTGTTTGAATGTAGAAATTGCAGGAATAGATCACCTTAAACTCTGAACCAGTACAACTATAACCAACTGCATGGTTGTAGACTAATTTAGGTGAAGCAACCCTTTAATTTTATGGCAAACCCATGATGTGTCAACCAGAAGAGCGCACTCATCTTAACCACACTTAAGCTCTATATTATGAAAAAACACGAAGACTCCTGATGGTGACTATGATGCAGAGCATGCAAACAAGAGTTTTCCAGTATTGTTGCTTAGACTCACCAAATACCAGATGTTCATTAATGCAAATATCTAATCAACCAATCATATGACAGCAACTCTGTGCATTTAGGCATGTAGACACGGTCGACACGACCTGCTGTTCAAACCAACCATCAGAATGGGGAATGAAGGTGATCGAAGTGACTTTGTACGGTTGTTTGTGCTAGACGGGCTGACATGAGAAACTGCTTACCTACTGGGATTTTCCTGCACAGGGTTTACTTACAAATGTTCACGAAAAGATAAAATATTCAGTGAGCAGTGGTTCTCTGTACAAAAATGCCAGAGGAGAATGGCCAGACTGCTTCAATCAGGAACTCAAATAACCACTTGTTGCAATCAAGATATGTTGAAGAGCATTAACACATCAAAGCTTAAAGCAGATGGGCTACAGCAGCAGGGGACCACACACTGAATGCATCATTTAGGCACTGCAACAACACTCAAGCCTACTTGAGTGTTGTTGCTGACCATGTCTATCCCTTTATGGCCACAGTGTACCCATCTTCCATCAGGATAATGAACTACATCACAAAGCTCATATAATCTCAAACTGGTTTCTTAAAAATGACAATGAGTTTTCAAATGACCCACACAGCCACCAAGTCATAGTCCAATAGAGCACCTTTGAGATGTGGTGGAATAGGAGATTTACATCCTGGAAGAACTGTGTGATGCTGGAAATGGTAAATGGTCTGGTTCCTGTATAGCGATTTACGTAACTTGCTTCATTTACAAATTCATAGAAGGACTTTTTCAACATAACTGCTTTCTATCTAACATTCATACACATTCATACTCTCATAGATGCATCAGTGTTTCCAGCACTTTGCTGAATCTATGCCACAAAGATTTTAGGCACTTGTGGAGGTAAAAGGGTGCCTAACAAACAATATGTTCCTTACAAAGTGCCAAGTGAGTCTACTTCCCATTGATTCTTATCTGATATGTCTTTATTTTATTCATCTAACTTTTTGCACTTTTTGATTGGCTCTTCCTGCATAAACAGTTATATAATAAGAAGATACATGACAATGATGAAAAACTAGGGGAAAAATAGGGACAATCGTGAAAGTGCATATTTTCTAACTTGGTTGTAAACACAAAACTCCCAACTCCACAGTATTCCAAGAAGGGCTAAGAGCACATATTTGATATTATCTGCAATTGGCAATTATGTAAAAATGTATTTTCAAGTCTCTATATGCCTCTCTCTCCCTCCGTTTCCATACCATTCTCTAGTCCCTGTCTCCATTTCCAGCCATTTTGACTCCGTCTATCTTTCCCTCCTGCCTGGATGATCTGGTTGACAGATAGATAGCATTCCATGTGGTCGAGAAGCACCAAGCCACATCCCATTCATCCCATCAGCCACAGATTGGACAGAACCACATTCAAGGACACCCAACGTTAAGAATTCTCAAAATTATATCTGTTTTCAGTCTAAATCGCTGCTGTTTTTTCCACAATCCCATAATGCTCATATAAAGACTTGCCACACACAATCAAACAAGCACATGAACACATAAAAAATGCAACTTTGCACAAAAAAAAGTGGAACACTTTCACTTTTCACTTTTCTTTTTGTAAAAGTGTCTTTTTGCAAATACAGTTTTAAGACATTTAAATAAGTAAACTCAAAAAGAAGAAACCAGAATGCATCAACAACTCACGAATTAGGCAAAAAATGTCAGGAGTTTGGACATATTAGACTTGAAGTGAAATTGGTAATTGGTTTTCTGGGGGATGTGCTAGAAAACGGCAGCTCCAGCTTTTTCCAGATTCCACAGGGCACCTTTAGTGGTCTTATAGAGTCCATCGTTTAGCAGTTCAGAGCTTTTTTGGCAACAAGTGAAAAAGTAAAGGCATATTTGGCAGAGGTGTTCATAATGTTTGAGCCAAATCCACACTGATGCAGACAGAGGTATAATTTATTAGCATTTTTTAGATTCCATTTCTGAGCGCTTTTTCTCTTTACTCAACACGCAATTAAACCCTCCCTCTCCCCCTGTCACATACACACAGAGAGATACAGCGGTGCAACAAGGAATGCAGTGATGAGGGTGTCTAAATGAAGACAGATTACATGTTTAGACTGTGTGAAGACCCACAGATTCTTCGGTCAACCTCATGGACCAAACTGTCAGTGTACAAATGTCCTATCATGCATCTAAACTGACAGGGGAAGCTGGGACATGGGTCGGTAGATTAATTTCCTGGCCAAATTAGGTGCTGTCAGGTATCCCAGTGTTTAATAATAAAATGAGTTATTCGAATATTTTTTTTATTTTTTTTATTTTTTAGTGATAGAGTGAGGGAGGGAGGGAGATCAACGACCTACAGGTGAAGATCAAACACTACAAACTAGGGACAAATATCATTTGGATATGTTCGATGCCTTAATTATTTGCAGCATATTTACTGATAAATCAGTAAGTAAAAATGTCATTTGCATGTATTAGTGTTTCATTTTATCCTATGAGCCATGAGAAGACCAGCTGATATTAGAAATAACTAAAATTCTTATTATGATATGAAATTTAAAATAAAGAGCAATCAGTGAACTATATGAGATTGATAGTTAGCCCCATTTATGCCAGTTATACATTAACGTATTGCTTTTCTTTATCCTCCTAACACCCGAACTCTTTCATGGCACGCATTTTTAATTTCTCTTTGCTATTTGGGCTGATTGGGACTTGATGAATGTAAAAACAAAGAATTATGTTTTTTGGGGGTTTTTTAACCTAATTTTTGTTCCTGAGAAAAATTAGATCCACATATGAGGACACTCGCTTTAAATTTCGATAGAACAGTGGTAGTATAACGTCCTCGTAAGTAAAGCAATATTTAGTATTTTGGTCTAGACAACCCAAAATGTGATGTCCACATATGTGGACGCCAGGTCCTAGGAGTTTAAGGTTTTTATACCACTCTACGCATCATGCAATCAAAAAAAAATAAGCGTCTTTAACTCTATGAAATACTTTTCCTCGCTATTACTAAGAATGGTCTTTTTCTTCGTCTTTGAGCCAATCAATTAAATACTTTTTATACAAACATTAGCACATGGACTTTTTCATTCCAGACTGTGAGACACTGGAACAGTCTCACAGTCTTTCCCCTTTCCTTTTATACAAACACCGGTACACAGATTCTGACTCACACGTATGCAGAGAGGCTAATGGAACATTACTCTTGTTAAAGCTAACAGTGCGTCTAGTTTTATACCATATCTGAGGGTTACCTGCCAGCACAAGGCGCTTATAAACCCCTGGTGATAAAATGATATTTATTCCAGATGCACTTGTCTCATTCTGGGCCTCTCTGTGGCTCTCCCTTCTTCTCCGTCTGACACACACACACACACAGAAACACACACACACAGAAACACACTCTCTATGCTTGACATTCCTAGCTAAGCACATGCTTATGACAACTGATGGTTGTGGCTACTGCTATTGCTATGTAATTGTTAAAGACAACTGTTTCGAGTGCAGCACTCTTTTGCCGAATCTTTGGATAATTCTACTGTGAAAGGGCACTTAAAACATAGTATGCTCTTGCCACTGTTGGCAATCTGTCCTTATCATTAAAAATAACAAAGACAACGGAGCCAGCACATTGTGGAGGAAAGGGTCCCAGTGGACGTGCAGCCTTAGATCTGTAACTCCCCTTTCAAGTCTTTCCGAAGCAACAGGATGAAGGAAGGTCTACTAACAAAGAATAATATCTTGTTAAAGAGGTTAGTTCTTTCATACTGTAAGTTTTCCATTTTGGAATACACCTTTTGGATTAAATCCTGCGGTAATTTTACACTAAACGTTTCAGTGACTACTTGACGTTGTGTTGGCAGTAGTGTATATATACACACGGTATCTGTCATAGGATTTTGTGTTGATGAGCTCTTTTCTCTGTCTGTTAAGCCAACAAAAGCACTGTATCAGAAAAACACATTCCTTGTTATTTATTTCAATATCACTGCTGTGATGGTGCAGTGGGTGAACCAAAAAAGATTTGCCATTGAAATAACATCATATATATCATGCTGATGAGACAACTTAACAATATTCTCACAGCTAGATTCCTGAACGATTGTTGTTGGATGGAATAAGCTCCATCCCATAATTCATTAGCTTGCTGAAGCACCTTAACAGGCCAAGCTTTGGACAGCTGGCCTCTCATTTGACACAACTGAGGATACTTTGGAATACAGAGGAGTTCATAGCTGACTCAGTGACTGCAAGGTCCCCAAACAAGCCTAAATCATCACCCGTCCACCACCACACTTGACAATTAGTATCAAGTGTTTGTGCGGATACACTGTGTTTGGTATTTGCTAAATGTGATGCTGTGCATTATGGCCAATCATCTGCACTTTGGTCACATCTGTCCAAAGAACATTGTTCCGGAAGTTATC